GACCTTCTGCAATAAAACGACGTATAACATCGTGCCAGAGCCTTGAAACAATCCAGCCTTGAATACATCTGAGCGAACATTGTGCCTGTTTGTGTATTTTTTTCTCCCTTGTTCTCTTTCCCCCCCTCCTCCTCTTCGCCCCACCAATGTATGCTTCATGATGGAGTACACTGCTGAAGTCTATCAGAAACGCTCCGGGGCACAGTCTCGCCTCGTATCCATACGCCGCCGCAAACGAGGTGGAGGGCGACGGACGGTCGGAGCGCTGGCAGCTTTGAGTGATGGGAGTTGGGGGGTCTAGGACGTGGGAAGGACATTGCGTTGGGCGACGTGGCACCAAGGTGCACTGCGGGACGTCTCCCAAAAGCAAAACATGCCGGGGTAATCACGGGGCAAACGTCACACGTCTTTTCTCGACAAACATTTCAACTGAAGGCGGGGGAAAAGCTTTAAAATATTAAGTTATTTTGCGAAGCCTATTTATTATTAATGACTAATTGTACAATACGTCTTGTCAAACGGCAGACAATGAGCTTGTGCGTTAGAGAATGGGAGGGGTGGCGCGTGGGGGTTGGCGGGGGTAGAGGAGATAGTGGTTCTTCAAGCTTCTTTGCCACTGCATTGCTGGATAAAGGCCTCTCCACATTGTCTTAATCGTGAGGAGTTGATGGGCCACAATTCACCACGGTGGTCAGTGCGGATTGGCGAAGTTCTGGCCCAGGACCGGTTTGGATATCACTCGCCTCTGACATTAGCCGTGGCTGGTAATAAAATCACGGTGGCCAGATTCAAAGCGGAGTGTGCTAACCAGTGCGCCACTGCTCGACCCCAGCGGGGACACTTCCCCCAAAAATCTTGGATGCAGAAGAGGGTATTAGTATTATCTCCCCTCCCCCCGCCCACCTCTTGGCTACTGTGGACTGTGGCGATTATTGGTGCTCGCTGCAGGGCAGTACCGACAGGCAAGGGGACTCGTTTGACAATACTTCACCACGCTGGTCAGTGTGGCTGATGTTAGCCGTGGCTGGGAAAAGGAACTCAGGTGGCTGGGTTGTGCTAACAAATGCGCCGCCGCTCCCCCCATACCACAGTAGATATTTTGCATGCGAATGCCTCATCGAAACTATTCAGTTTATACTCTAGTTTTTTTCGGTAAAGTCACGTAGGTAAAACAAAATTAAAATAAAAGAAAATAAAACAACTAAATCAAATCACGACGTTTCATTGGCTAACATTGTCTCAACACAGCGGGTTCTCATGACATGGTTCTCTCCGATACCAAAGTACTATGCACACCTCCCGGTTATTACCAAAGATTTGTCCATGAAGCCATCCAGATATACAAACATAGACACAACTTCAACCGAGAGGATGGTTTTAAATTAAGCAACCACTGGAAAGATGTCATAAACCAAGTCAAAACTTCAGCTACCTTATAAGCGCACAGACTTTTTTTTAAACCATTTTTTCATTGCCCCCGTGCAGTGAACCACCGCTTCCCCCGAACCCTCAACATAACAAAAGACGGATTAACTTAGCCTCGTCGTCGTCCCCTGCTTGGCTCCTCCCCCCCACCTTAACCTTAGCCCCGCACGCCGTCGTCGTCCCCTGCTTGGCTTCTCCCCCCCACCTTAACCTTAGCCCCGCACGCCGTCGTCGCTCCCTGCTTGGCTCCTCCCCCCCACCTTAACCTTAGCCCCGCACACCGTCGTGGCTCCCTGCTTGGCTCCTGCCCCCCACCTTAACCTCGCTCCCTGCTTGGCTCCTCCCCCCCACCTTAACCTCGCTCCCTGCTTGGCTCCTCCCCCCCACCTTAGCCTGTATATAAGCTCGAGGGTCTCAGAGCTCACCACGTGATGCAGCTATCTTGCTGTGACTGTTCCACCTGAAGACGGAAGCTTGTGATTTGATTTAGTTGTTTTCTTTTCTTTTATTTTAATTTTGTTTTACCTACGTGACTTTACCGAAAAAACCAAAGAGTATGAATCCTTTGCAGTCACGAAAGCTTCAAATCTAGAATTATATTCAGTTTATACTGAACAATACACCCGAGGGAGTTACTAAAGTAGGGCTTGTGCTCAAATCTTCTTTGTTGTGGTTTCCCCGCACCTCCGACGAGCACGGTTGGATACATACGGTGCGAAAGAAGTTCAACATACATACTGAAAATCATACCTGAGTAAAAAAAAATACTTTAAAAAGTAAAGATTACGGTCACTAGGGAAAGCTTAATGACAATGATGATGATGATGCAGAATGTTTGTAAGAAGGAAGACGTCATGGCAACATCTTTTTCAGTGGCATCTTGAGGTTGGCATCGGCCCTGTTTAACCCCCCCCGCCCCCCGTGTCGCTCATCACCTAAGCCCCTCTGATGGGGTGAGCCCCAGTACAGCTGCACTTCCTGCACTGGTGGCCGCTACATCACTGACCCGTTTAAATGTGATATTTGTATCAGGGTGAATATGCTCCAAGCATACAATTAAAACGTACACAATGTAACGTTGATGTTATAGTTTGAAATGCGTTCTTAATTCGATTTTAACACACCGCTCTAAAAATAGATTTTATAGATCAACTATCAGACCAAGGTTATTTATTTAAGCCAAGTGACAACCCATTGTAATGAGAGATTCTTACAAAACAAATAGTGAAAATGCAGTCGCAATAAATGTAGATTCGAAATTGATATCTTTGAGACGTGAGATGTTATAAAAGGCACACATCAACATGTGAATAATTTTATTATCGAGATATTTATTGCAAAGCACGCTTGCCTCAATGGGCTCCCTCGCTTTTCATTTCCATGAAAATCACAAAATTATTCTGCCCTTGCTTCGGTAGTTTTTCTTTTAAATTATACGGGGGTGCACCACAAAGACAAAATCCCCTGTATAGCCTTAACGGACTTTTGGGGCAAGTGCTGTTACCGAGCACCTCCCACACACGCAACACAGTGGCGTGTCTATCGAGTGTGCAGGCGGTGCAATTGCACCAAGGCCCACGGACCAGAGGAGCCCAGGCGCACTGCTACAAAGAAGCGATTTGGGGTGCAGTGGGCGAGGGGGGGAGGAGAGGAGGGGGTGGATTATTCAGGCAGTGGTCCTATTGCATGCTGTGCACCAGGGCCCTTGCCAACCACGCTACTCCACTGGACACACACTTAGTATTGTACGCATTACGCGTATACAAATCGTAACAATGGATTTACAAGTTTTGGAATATTTAACGGTTAAGGCAGTGGACGCACGAGCAGTTTTGAAGGAGAGCAGTTCTTGGCTTTTGCACGAATACGCATCGTCCACTGACCGTGAGGACAGTCGAGTCGAATCAAAGCCCGTTGTACAGACCGCAAAATTTGAATCTTTATTATGACTGGAGGAATCCCATGAGCAATAAAGACTATTTTTCATAAATGTCCAGCCGGGGGGGGGGTCAGCAAGTATTCACCTCTGACGCTTTCTCTCACTCGAGCGCACGTGCTGTGGATAGAGCCTGCGCCAAGTGGAGCGAGCAGCGCTTTCCCAAACAACGAACAACGCAGAGACGACAGCAAACTCATTCAAGTTCTCGAGGTTGTTCAGTATAGCTTCTCTGACGTTTTCGCGTGGTGCCGCTCGTCGTTCAGCATGATGTCCGACGTTTCGGTCCACGTGCGTGGCGCAAATATACGGGAGAGCCGTGCGGAGAGCTGTTTTGACGCCTCTGCTATCCTCGCTGGTGTTACGACACAGACGTTCATCACAACGCTTCAAAGCACATCGTCGCAATCATCGTCATCGTGAACTTTAATATTAACCAACAGCTCATCAAAAGGGACGTCCGACTACACCCCAAACACACACCGGGTGACAGACGTCCGACTACACCCCAAACACACACACCGGGTGACAGACGTCCGACTACACCCCAAACACACACACCGGGTGACAGACGACCGACTACACCCCAAACACACACACCGGGTGACAGACGTCCGACTACACCCCAAACACACACACCGGGTGACAGACGTCCGACTACACCCCAAACACACACACCGGGTGACAGACGTCCGACTACACCCCAAACACACACACCGGGTGACAGACGTCCGACTACACCCCAAACACACACACCGGGTGACAGACGTCCGACTACACCCCAAACACACACACCGGGTGACAGACGTCCGACTACACCCCAAACACACACACCGGGTGACAGACGTCCGACTACACCCCAAACACACACCGGGTGACAGCGCCAGCCGCGTGATGCCCCATTTGGGGGGAGCTCTACCGGCGCAATGCTATCGAGATCAAGATGACAGCATGGCTGGCGAACCCATAGAGACGAATGCTTATTTCGCAAGGGAGACCTGGAAAAGTTACGCGGCAATTGTATAGAGCGGCGAGGGGAGACGGATGTGAAGGCTTGGATAAACCGCTCCACAATTAGTTGCCTCGAGAAGACTGAGCAGCCGCCTCTTCAAACACCCCCCACCCCACGCCGTAAACAAAGGCACCAGTGCGAGAGGCGTTAGCGAAGCACTCAAGGTCGTCACGGCACACACGATGGGGGTGGTTGTGGTCACAACTACCCCAGTACTGGTGGTTCACACACCGCTCCAGGTGCTCATTTTGAACAAAGGCGGTCTCACTGCATCGCGCGCTTACAGATGCGCTTCTCCGGCCGTCTGGAACGCTCTTCCTTGCGATATTACGAATCCACTTGGAGCTGTGCACTTTGAAATAATTTAGATTTAAGCTAATTTCTTTAGAACTGCCTTTTGTGTTCAAATTTGTCGTCCTTTCTCCACACCTCCGATTAGCACGGTCGGCTACGTACTGTGAGAAAGAAGTTCAACATACATAGAAGTTCTACATACATCCAAACAATCACGAAGATCGCCCCATTTAGCCTCCTTGGGGTTCGGGGGACAAGGGCTGTCAGCGAGCACACACAGGACCCACACACAGGACTCGAATCGATGACTCAACCCCCACAGGACCCACACACCTTTCCTTCGCGAGCGTCTCCGTCTTCGTCGCTTCATCTTGGGCCGCCGGGAAGACACGTCCTGCTCGGCGACTGTGCCCAGCACCAAGGGACAAGGCGGCCAGGAGGCCATGTCCCCTGGCTTGCTACTCTGCCGCGTCTACGAGACGACTACTACTAGCCCGAGTCACGTGGAGCCAATGTGATCAGCTTCTTCCCCTCGCTCACTGCGTACACTCCGCTGCCTCACTCACCCACCCTCCCCTAGCGCTCACTCACTCATCCGATGTTAACTCTGCTGGCTCTCACCTTTCCCCTCCTTACCGCTCACTCGCTTCACATTCCCTTCCTACTGCTCACTCCTCCGCCGACGCACTCCGCTCCTTCGCCTTCCCTCCACCACCGCTCACTCGACTCACTCCACTCCCTGACTGACCTTCCCCCCCCCCCTCTCTCACCGACTCCACTTACCCTCACTACTCGATACTCCTCCTCCGACGCACTCCACTCACTCGCTATATCTCACAGAATGCTCACTCAACTCAACTCCCTCGATGTTCCTCCCTGCCGCTCGCTCGCACTCCTTCTGTCCCTCCTCCTCCTCCTCACTGCCCACTCCCCTGCCTACGCCATGCGAGGAGTGTTCTAGACCCGCTGTACCGTGAGTGCTGGTTGAGTGAACCCAGTGGGCTGCTTGTCACCGCTCCGTGTCCACCTCCTGGCTGAGGAGGGCAGCCACCACCGGCGTGTGTGGCGCTTTCTGCCCCAAATATATTCACTCTGGCGGCGAGGTGGGGAGGAGGGTGCGGGTAGTGGGCGGCGGGGGGTCTCCCCCTGCACGGCGCGGGTGATGTCAGCGAGCTGTGGTGAATGGAGCGGAGAGTGTGACACGTATGACACACACAGATGCGCGCACGCACGCGCGCGAGCACACACTTTTACACACACACACCACACACTCGTACATTCACACACCTTTGCCCAAAGACGCCTTCGATATCCCAGTCAGACTGTTGGGGCGAGTACGGCACGGCACACGAGGGGATGGGTAACACGGCACACCGGCACCACGCCCGGTTGCCTTTGTCTCTCCCTCGCGGCGTCGTTTACACATCGCACCAGGTATTCAATTGAGGCTGAGTAGATCTAGGGGTAGGCTCAGGAGAGCGGTTCAAATAATCGTCACTGGTATTGAGTCGTGAGCGAGAATCGAACTCTGGTCGCCGGGTTCCGTAGCGGAGTGCGCTAACCGCTGAGCCACCGCTCCCAACACAAATACATTCAAAGACGCATACTACATATTCACCAACACATTCGCAAATATCCTATATGCATGTATCCACTTGTGTTAACACACCCATACGTACACACATTCAGACATGCATATGCTTACATTCTGTATATATATACATTCTGAGAGCGGTAACCGTTTTCAGAATCTATTACCGGTTTTGGAAAGTTAGGAACCCGGTAATGGTTTTCCAAGCCACAACATTTACAATCTGAGTACGACGTTTCGCCAGTAATTGCATCTAGCTTCATCAGGCGACAGCCACGTCGTACTCAGATTGTAAATGTTGTGGCTTGGCTCTCCAACACACTGGTGTGCTGTACTAGTGACGAATAGGCACGTTCTGTTTACGTGACAACTATAGTTGGCTGTGTCGGCTGGTGGCGGGTTTAACGACACATATACTTACGCGATCTAACCCAAAACACCTCTACTCAGGAATAGGTATACGCACCCACACTTTATCCCACCGATTGGTGAGACGGCGATGGGGAGGGCGGGGGTGCAATTTAGGGAAGGCAGAGACATTGGTTTCAACCGCTGCGGCGGGCTATGGAATCGAACCAGGTGACCCCCCCCCCCCCCCCCCCCTGGATTGCAAGCCCCAGTGTCCACTGGCCATTACAACGACCCTCTTAAAAAATGCGTTCCTGCAATCGCTTACTCAAGCCAATGCTGTGGTGGAAGGACTACTTCGACTTCGGCGGAGCTCTCGAGAGCCCCCTCTGGGAGGTTATTTTGGCCTACTCCTCCACGCTGGGCAGACTCCCTAGAAGAGATGGGTTACCCATGCTTCATCCCACCACATCCAATCTGCCGATGGAATGTGGTGTACATGTTTTGTAACTGCTGGGTGGACACAGGCGGGCGAGGTTAAAGAAACTTGCCCCATAGTTGCATCTGCTCCAATCGGCAGTCTATTATTTTCCAACAATTCGGAGTGCGACTACTAATTTTATTGTATTTGACTTCATTCAGACAGAGCGCGCGCGTGCGCATACACACACACGGCCTGTGTCGTTCAAGGTATTCGTTAATCAGCGCCTGCCGCCCGTCCTAATTAATAGGATGACGCGCGACTATCTATATTTCTTTTCACGTGAAAGGAAATATCCAGACACGTCTGATGAGGATTTTTTGAAATTCAAATTCATTAATTGCCTTTTCACACGTTCGGTCACAATTAACGGCGAAGCCTTTTCGTCAACGCGTCGTCAAATTTTGACAGCCGTCTCTACCCAGGTAGAACAATAATTACACAATTATACTCGTGTTTACTACCCCCTTTGTGTCACTCCACTGTTGGATGAAGGTTATCCCCGATGCCGTGTTGGTCATGGTGGTAGGACCAGTTTACTTGTCACTGGCCACTGATGTTAGGCGTGCATGTATGGAACAAGTATCAAGACTAAACATCACATAGCGATATGATGCCCTGTATTGTTTCAGGTCATGGTGGCTATGCACGCGTGTGATCCAGTGCTTTGGAGAGAAGGGTTGGTGGATCGCGTGAGTCATTTGTGAAACTCCCAATTTCCGCCACGGCTTCAAGCAAAGGTGGGGTTTTTGAATGCGTGTGCGTAGATATTTGAGTGTTACTCCATCATGTGCTTGGGTTTTCTCCAAGTGCACTGCTTTCCACACACATGCACAATACTATTTAAAACGGAATTGGCCAGACATCCCAGTTCAGGACACTCGTGAAAAAGCCTTGAGATTCATCGAGGCTCTCTTGGCATTTTGGGCAACGTCCCTTCTTCAAGCGCATGAAATAATTGACAGTCCTTAGATGTTTGATCAATCCTATATTTAGTTCATCAACACGTATAGTCTATTTTTCCATGTGCTAAGAAGAAGGGCTATTTCCAGAAACGTCGACCAATTTATTTATTTATTTATTTATTCCGATTGAGGCCCGAGTGTTATTGACGGGTGCTTTGAGTCTGTTTTTGTTAAGAGGAAGCAGTTCGTTTGAGTTTGCCTAGAAGGCATACGGCACGTGTAATTGACACGTTGACGACGTTTTCTGCAATTTACACTACTTTGTCGTTCAGACATTAAACAGTGTTGCTTCTTATACAAGGGCAACCTGGATTAACGTCTATACCGATGTAAAAACAAATACAAAAAAATGTAACAGATGTGGACTAAAACATTTTTAACAATAAATGAATGTCACAACTTCACTGAAGACGAATACTGTAGTAGTGATAGATCGGTATCCTTAATGTGTACCACGTGGCACCCCAATAAGGCAGCATAGACTCTCTTTCTCTCTTGCAAGGCAGACTTGGGTTATCTAAACGATTATCATATCAAAGCAGTAAACCCTTTTGCAATATATGCTATGGTAAATTGTGATAGTTTTTTGGTCTATATCTTCTATATATATATTCGTTTGCAAGTATTATTTGTGCCAGTTGGCTGTCACCTAATTATAAAGTGTATATGCGTACATCCCTTTGTAAATCCACTGGCTAAGATGGGCCTCCACATGCCGAGGGTGTAATTTGACCATACTTCACCACGCTGGTCAGCACTGGTTGCAGAAGATGGGTACGTTAACATAAACGATGGAGTGTGGTACAGTACATGAATTGATGTTTCTGCACTGCCCTCTGCTGACAATGTGGCCCACAGCCTATAGCACCTGTTATGCATGGTGTTCGCCCATCCAACCATTTCCCTGGCTCAACCTGCTGTGCTTAGCTTTCGAGATCTGACGAGATTTGGGACATTGTGTGTTAATTAGTCATGGGCAGCTGGGTAAGTAAATACATACATTGGAAATTAAAAGACAGACGTAAAATATATTTAGTCTTATCAGCATATTGGCCAATGGTATCCAGCATGTCCAGAGTTTGCTTGTTTAAACAAATTCCGCCAAGTAACATTTATTCACAAGGTCAATCGGACGATGGACTAAACATTATTTTAATTTGGAGAAAGTGAAGCATGCATGTCTATGTTCTTTACAAAGTTGGTGGCTTGGACAGGACACGTCGCTAGAAAAGATAATTGCTGGGGGGTCGAGACTAACATTGGAGCGGCAGTCAACGGAGAGAACACACGCTTGTGCAGTGCTGTGAGGAGACGGAGTAACGAAAATCAGCTCATGCGGTGCATTGTTGCCAAATGTATTGTTACGTCTCAGAATAACGGTGAGAGATGGAGGCATGGGGAGGCCTTCAAATGGCAGTGGATAGATCATGTCTGATTAAATGCAGTAAATTGCCAGAACATTCTTCAACTGAAGCACAACCCACGTGCAATGAATGGCAAAGGAGATATAAACGAAAGACACATAAATAATCGGCCGTTAATTTATGTAATATTTGTTTGCATGGCGTTTTACCACGCCATCACTCACAAACGTTTCCCAATCCCCAAGTTATTCCTCTAATTACTGTGGATAAACGAGGAAGGTCTCTATGGTCCGAGTGCGTGTGTGCTTGCGTGTGTGTGGGGGTGGTACGGTAGTGTCGCGGTTAGCGCTATGCTGCGCTACGAACCTGGCCAACCGGGTTCGATTCCCGTTCACGGCCAACACCAGTGACGATGATCTGAACCGGTACTGGGCCTCCCCTAAGTCGACTCAGCCTCAGATGAGTACCTGGTGTGATGTGTGAGCATCGCCACTAGGGAGACAAAGGCGGCCGGGCGTGGTGTTGGCCACACACCCCCTCGTGTGCCGTGACGGGCTTCATAGGTGCTCGCTAACAGCACTTGCCCCTACAGTCTGTTAAGGCAAGACGGGGGATCTTTGATCGTTGTGTGTGTCATACAACAAGGTCCTCATCCAACAGTGGATTCACACAGGGGTTGTTAAATGTGTAATGACATGGAATGAGTCACTGCAGCGCGTGCCGCTAGGAGATTGGTAGACAATAGATTTAGGGGTAGCAGCCCGTTCTACCAGTTGCACCTGTGGGCACGGCACGGAGCCCCCTTGGGGTGTGGGGGGGGCCGAGGGCGGAGCCTGGCCACGCTGGGCAGGATAAAAGGCGAGCTCCGACTCACAGTCGGGGCTGCTGCGATTTGGAGTGGAACTTCTTGTGCCGTAGTCGTGATCGGCACCCTCTGTGGGTCTGGCAGCATGTTGGCTGTCCCGACCTGGTATAAAGTTATCCCCGAAGGCTGTGAAGGCCGGAATAAAACAGAGAGTACCTCCTGAATTAGCACACTACAAGCAGTGGATTCCCCCAGGGCTGGTACGTGCGTACTTGCATACAGATGAACTTACAAACGAACTTGCTCTCTCTCACACGCCAAACAAGTGTTCATGTTCAGTCGGCGTTTAATGTAAATATTGAGGCTCGTTAGCATCTTTACCTGCAGGGCTTTTCAACTGTCGATCCACTGGGGGCCTGGGAAGAACATTTCACAAATGCAACCTCCCAAGGGTGCTGCCTCCAAATCCACATGGCACAGAGTACAACGTTGTCGTTTTGTCTTTGTCTTCCGCCAACTTTAT